CCTTATCATTTCCGGGTATATCGGAAATGATGCCTTGCTTAGAAATGATACTCTGAAGGCGAATATTTACTAAGTCCTTGCCTCGGGACGTCTTCTGCATTCATGCTCAGGAACAACGTTCCTTTCGCCTCGGGTGCATTGGTTCTTTGGCTGGGGTGTCTTGTGAAGTCAGCTCGGGACGAAGGGAGAGTTCAGCTCGGGTAAGGTGGTGTATCGGGTCCCGCTCCCGAGGCGATACAAGATGTCCCGAGCCGGTTCAGCCATGATTTTGCCGAGCCGATCTGGTGATTGATCTCGAGCCGGTTCGGTGATCCCGAGCTGGTTTGATGATCGATCCCGAGCTGGTTGGTGATCGAACCCGCACCGGTTCGGTGATCCCTAGCTGATTAAGTCAGCGTTCCCCGAGCCACCTCGGTCATGGGTCACGAGGTGCCGTGTCTTAGCTCGGACTTAATGCGGGTGGAATCCAATCCCAACAGAAACCTTAAACTTTCTGGAAAGGATACAAGGGGATATATGTGGACCAATACACCCACCATGCGGGACATTTAGATATTACATGGTCCTCATTGATGCATCGACAAGATGGTCGCATGTTTGTTTATTATCCTCTAGAAACTAAGCGTTTGCTAGGTTGTTGGCCCATATCATAAGACTGAGAGCCCATTTTCCAGATTTTCCGCTTAAGACTATACGTCTAGATAATGCCGGTGAATTCATGTCCCAAGCGTTTAATGACTACTGTATGTCCATGGGGGTAAGTGTGGAACATCCCGTGTCACATGTACATACACATAATGGATTAGCGGAATCCTTCATTAAACGAATTCAATTGATAGTTCGACAATTACTCATGAGGTCGAAGCTTCCAGTAGCCGCTTGGGGACACGCTGTTTTACATGCATCAGAGCTTATACGCATAAGGCCATCCAGTGAACATAAATATTCGCCATCCCAATTATTAACGGGTCATGAGCCAGACATATCCCATCTAAAGACATTCGGGTGTGCCGTATATGTACCGATTGCTCCACCACATAGAACAAAGATGGGACCTAAACGGAGGATGGGAATATATGTTGGATTTGATTCTCCCACCATTATTAAGTATCTAAAGCCAACCATGGGTGATCTATTTAAGGATAAATACGCAGATTGTCATTTTAATGAATCCGAATTTCCTACTATAGGTGGAGAGACGAACAAGTTGGTCAAAGAAATATCATGGAATCAAACATCCTTAAATTGGCAAGATCCCCGGACTCTGATGTGTGATTCAGAGGTCCATAAGATAATAAATTTGCAAAAGCTAGCTAATGAATTGCCAGATTTCTTTGATGACCCAAAGAGAGTTATAAAAACGTACATACCAGCTTGTAATGCACCAGTACGTATTGATGTTCACAAGGAACACAATCAAGTTGCTACAGAGTCTAGACAGCGTAAGAAACGTGGTAGACCAATAAGTTCCAAATGATAAAAACCCTCGAAAATTAAAGAAAGGTGCAATAGGAATCCGAGGTTACTAAGGAAACCATCCCAGACATGGAGATAAGGCCGGCCGGCTCTAAGGTACAGGTACCATATAATGTAGCTTGGGACGCCAAGCTGCAAAGTATTAAAGGTCCTGGCCATAATAAATCTCAAATCGATTATATCATGTCTGGAACATAATGGAACATATAAGAAATGTCGACATAAGATGATTTTGCATGCAAGGTAGCACTTGAATTTATGAATATAAATGAGGATTAGGAGCCCACGTCTATACTAGAGTGCACTCAAAGACTTGATTGATTAAATGGTACAAGACCATAAAACGTGGAGCTAAGCATCATTAAGAAAAGGAATGAGTTTGATCCGACCTTAAGGACACCATTCGATGTAAAAACCAGTAGGACAGAAGAGAAATGAGAATAATGAAATCGTGAGATATAAGGCACGGCTTATAGCACAAGGATTCTCACAAAGACCGGGGATAGATTATGAAGAAACATACTCCCCTATGGTGGATGCTAAGTCTGGCTATATAAAGGAAAAGATTTGATTTGCGGCTAATGGATGTAATGCCTGCATATTTATATAAGTCCACTGGATAATATATATGAGATTACCAGAAGGTATTGAGCTCAAAGATAAGAAAGATTCTCGAGAATATCACTGCATAAGGCTGGACAAATCCTTTCATGGACTTAGACCAAATGGGGGTATGAAATGTTATAAATAATCCCATTAGTCCATATATTTTCATAAAGAGGTTTGCAAACAAAGGATTTGTAATCATAGCAGTGAATATGAATAATTTAAACCTCTGGATAATCGACCAAACAGTTGAGTATATCTAAAAGAAAGACCTAGGCAATAATTAAGTTCTGTTTGAGATTACAACCTGAGTACATGAATAATGGAATCCTTGTGCATCAAAAGGCATATACTGAAAAGTACTCAAGGATATTTAATAAGGACCAGGCCCGCCCATTGACCAGGCCCAATGGTGGTGAGAAGCCTTGGATTGGATAGTGATCCATTTGGTCCAAAGAAGGACGAGGAAGAAGTTCTCGGTCCTGAACTGCCATACCTCAGTGCCATAGGAACGTTAATGTACTTGGCTAGCCACACTAGACCAGACATATGTTTTGCCATGAACCTCCTTTGTATAAATTTAGTTCATGATCAACCCAAAGGCACTGGAAAGGTTTGAAGGAAGGTTTGGTTAAATTTTAAAGTTTATTCTTCCTACTTTTTTTATTTGGGTTTATTCTATACTGATCTAACCAAAGAAGGTCTAGTTTGCCTTGGTTTAGTTTGTTTTGCTGATGCAGGTAAGATCGGATTATGGCATGGTCAATAAATAGGAACTACGTGTGGTTTGATCCCTTCCAAGGGTACGTAGGCAGCCTTCTTCAAGGCGCAGCTACTACAACATCAAAGACCATCATATGTGAAGACAACGTAGCCATGTATCGCTCAGCTCAAGGACGGCTACATCAAGGGAGATCGGACAAAGCACATTCTACCTAAGTTCTTCTTCACACATGACCTACAAAAGGATGGTGAAGTTCAAGTGGTGCAAGTTCGTTCAAGCAACAACTCAGCCGATCTCTTCACTAAAGCACTACCGACAACAACAATTAAGGAAGCTCACGCATCAAATTGGAATGCGGAGACTTAAGGACTTGCAGGGATGACCAAAACAGGGGGAGTAATGCGTGCAGTACTCTTTTTCCTTCACCGTGGTTTTGTCCCAATGGGTTTTCCTGGTAAGGTTTTAATGAGGCAGCATCCCCAAGCGCATTACAAAGATCCTTTGGCATCTACACGGTTATGTCATCCAAGGGGGAGTGTTGTAAACCACATTACGGATGGACTCCATAACCGTGGCCCATGTCCATGTTCTAGAAGGCCCATGTCCATGTTCTAGAAGGCCCATGTCTATCTTCTAGAAGATTCGCCCAATGACGGTTTATGTTAGTCTTATTGGGCTTTGGGCTTTAGGGTTTCCTAATCCAATTGGGATTTGTCTCCCTTATTGTGTATATATATAAGTTGTAACCTCATTCATTAATAAGAGAATACACGAGATTCATAACAGAACATGATATTTATATTTAATTTTTTTCCTCAAAAGTAATTAATTTGGTTATTTTTTTTTGGATTCTAGTGGAGATGAAAAATATGTTGGAGAGAAATTTCTGTTTTGCACGTACATCCATGATGGATCAAAGTGAATACCGAATTTTTGATGTATATTGTTTTTAAACAGTAATTGTCTCTCAGTAATTTTTGTGAAAGTTTTTTTGGCTTTTCAAAATTAATTTTTTTTCCCGAAGTTAAATCAAAATTTTGTTTAATTATTATTTGTAAGAATTATGTTCATTATTATCTAACAGTAATAATTACATTAAAACGGTGACACAACTTAACTTAAAATAGACCCTTTTTTGGACATGTTGAGATACTTGTTCCAACCTATGCCGGAGATAAGTGGCCGACGTTGCTAAGAGAGCCAACATCGCCAAAGAAAAGCCAACCAACCGCCGCTATAGTAGTCGGAGGCTGTCGGACTAAAGCCGGTTACACCGGACGGCGAGATAGGACGGCAAGGTGGGACAGCAAAACCGGATCACGTCCGGATCCATAAACAGGTAACACATACCGAACAGCGAAGAGAACAATCGAAATCTCTCTCTCTCTCAAAAGTTTAGAGAGAGAAGAGAGAGAGAGAAGAGATTCACAACAAATATCTTTCTAGTAGGGTAACAAAACAAAAACAAAAAAAAAAACCGATTAAAAGCGTGGATCTGTAAAATCAGCAACTATTGATCTGTCACTGTGACAATATTTATTACAAAATATTTTTATTAAACAAAATAATAGAATTTGTAAACTCTTTTCTTCATAAAGTGTTTTTTTTTTCTTTTAATTAATGTCTAGTTGATAGAAAGAAAAAAAAGACTATTATTGTGTATCTACAGATAACGGTATGTCGGTATCATTTATTCATTTACTAAATAAGTCTCATTTAATTTGACTTACTCATGTAAATAAGATGTACGACATTACATATCCGAACCGGAACCAAACCGAAAAAATAGGATTAAAATCCGAACCAAATCCGACAGATTAACTGATCGGTTATTGATTTCTATATCCATGGATATCGGATAATACCCGTTCCGATCCGATATCTGATGGGTATCCGAACTCTCCTCTAGAAGTTCTAGAACCTAAGTCGTCCCTTGCATTACGGGATCCATTTTCCTTATCTCGATTTCTCTCCCTAGCAATATAGCTAAATCGGATATTGAATATCATATCCATACCGATCCGAAATCCGAAATATCCAAACCGAAACCGATCCGAATTCTATAATTATCCGTATGGATATTAGAATCTATATAAAAAAAAAACGAATTCCGAAAAAACCGAACCGAATCAGAACCGATAACCGAACGCCTAGGCCTAAATGAGACAATAAAACAAACAAGCTTTCGAAAATGTTAAGAAAATAAGAAATCTAAAACATACACACTAGAAACAATTTTCATATTACATCACATAACAATAAAAAGAAAATAAATAAACACTAAACAAAACTAAATCCGAACCGTAATAAACCCAATGCATACATAATAAACTCAATTTCGGTTTGATTACCATTTTTCTTAAACCCAAGAAAAAACTGAATCAAACCCAAATTGAAACCCCAGCTTAAAAACACTCCTAAAAGAACCTATAAACAAGAATTAACAAAACCAAAATAAAACATCTAGAAGAAAAAAATTTCAATTGTCTTTTTTTTTTTTTTTTTATTCACAGAAGTGAATCTAAAGCACAAACTCTAATTCTTAAACTCCATTTTTTGTAGACGACTTGAAACGTCTGTACACAAACATATGTATATCAACACTGATATGTTTCGTAAATTCAGCTTTGTGAATCAGCTATTAGTGTATTCTTACCATTTTCTTTTTCTTTTAAGTTTCTTCTCCTTCTCTCTAATTTCTTTGTTCGGATACAGAGAGAATGGAGCCTTCTACGATGCAGTACCTGCGGGTTGCTAGTCGAGAGGAGAGTCAAATACCATTTCCTGCAGAACAAACGGATTCTCTCAGACATATCCCGGGAAGTACAACGTAATATGTAAACAAGCTGAACTGGAACTACTCATTACGGTTTACTTAGAGCTGTCGACATACGCCAAAGAGAACTGGATAAAAAGAATGTACCTTGTTGCAGACGGGGCAGGTTTCACTTCTCTCCATCCATTCTAGAATGCATGCAAGGTGAAAATGGTGATCACATTTGGCTACAAGTTTTGGGTTCTCGATATCATATTCTGAATCAAAAGCAAAGACAACATAATACATAACCCATTCTCGCAGTCATATAAGGTACGGTTTTGTTTATGTCTTGAGGTGTGGGTAAGGCAAAAAAACTTTTACCTTCCAAACATATGGGGCAATCCTCCTCTTCCTCTATTGGTATAAAGACGGCTTTTGATAGCTTTGGGTCTATTTCTTCAGTAGATTCAAGATCAATCTCTGTTTGGATTTTGCAATCTGTCTCTTTATGTGAGCATGTAGTTGGAACCCCGATAGTAATACCATCAACTGTTTCTTGAGCAGACTCGGTATTAGCAGAGTCCACTGAAACCTCTCTAATATCAACACAAGTAGCCTCTTCAGCACTGGCTGGTGTTTGAGGAACCCCTATAGCCACATCGAAAGGGATAGGCAGTGGCGGTGGTATATAAGCATCAGGAGATGATGTCTCTAAATTTGTGTCTACTACTACAACACCAGTAGAGATTGCAGAGGAAGTCCTGTTATGAGCGGAAGACAAAGGCACACGTTCTTCTGTTGCCCTTGGGTACTGCAAAATACAAGTCAGAAAACAAGGTTTAACAAATTTGATCTTACAATGGAAAACTCATTCCCATATGAATCTCGAAAGCCCGTTATGGCTTTTAACTCATTTTTTGTCCTGAAGCACATCAAGATTGAGTTATTTGCAGCCTATCTAAGCAAGAACACACACACACACAAAAAAAAAGCCAGGAAATGGGAGAAGTATCACACTAACGTAGTAGTACGCAGGTCCGTTATCTACATCAGCTCTTCGTGAAGAAGAACAACAACAGCAACCTCCCATCTCTTCTTTTTTTTTTTCTGTTTTTATCACAACAACTACAAAAACCGAAGACTCTTCATCTATGCTAACCTACAAGAAATGCAAAGAAACAAGAAACAAATTACATTTCGATATCGGTATGTGAATATTCATCACATATAATGCAAGAAACTCAAACAAGCTTTGTCGTTTTCTCGATAACAGTTTCAGCTGTCTACAAAAGTCTGATCAGATTCATCATATGCTACCAACAATAACAGTCCAAAATTTCAGCTACAAACAGTCCAAATCTACTCTCACTAATCAAGATACAACAAACATCAATTGACACACACCAAAAACCTCTTCTCAAAGCCGATTAAAATCGGGACAAGAGTATTGAGACTAAAAGCCTATGTGAATCTCCTACAATTATCATCTAGACACACTTGCAGTGAATTCAAATCAATTTTACACTAAACCCCAAAAACTTAAACAATTCTACTCAGAATTCAACTCCAACAGAAACTCCATTAAGAGCAAGCTAATCCGTAAAACCCTAAACCGAAACTTATCAACATCAGAATTCTCAGAATCTAGCATAAACACATAGCAGAAAAACGGATCAAAACAGTAAAAAAAAAAAACCCCACAGAATTTCACACAAAATCAAGCTCATAAAGCAAAAAAAAAAAAAAACCTAAAGAAAACGATCACTAGCAAGATCAAACAAACACCAAACAAGAACCGATCATCTTCTCGAGATTGAATCAGAGAAGAGGAATTGAAAAATCTCAAAATCAAAGAGAGAATTTTACTTTCTTTTTTTCTCCGGAGAAGCTTTTTGTTTTTGTTTTGTCTTCGTCCTTCTCTGCTTGTGTGCTTTTGCGGTGCTGTTTATCGTGCGCTCTATCAAAATGACTTTCCTTAGAAATTAGAAGACTCTTTTTGCTGATATATTATATTTACTTACCTGATTTATAAATTCATTATTATTACAATTACTGGCAACTCTCTAAAATTACCTTTAAATGGTATAAATATATATTTTAATTTGGAAATAGAGAATCTAAATATAAATTTTAATTTTATTTCTATTTATTTAGGTTAAATAAATATTTTTATATATTTGTGATATTATTGAGAAAATAAACTAGTGTTGTGGAAGCCCCCTTGGCCCATTGGTTGATCAAGGGTTAATTAATGCTTCTACACCAAGAGGTCTGGGGTTCGAGTCCCAGAGATTACGATTTATTAATAAATTTGCAGATTAAAGGAGGCAAGTGTACAGGAGATCTCCAGCGAAGTACAATTATAGCCGTTCGCCAGGATTCTACGCAAAGAGAGAAGTGTCGTCAGGTCGTGGATCATTGAAGGTGTCCGTCAAGAACATGGAGAAGGAAGTGTCGTCTGTCGTGGATCTAATAAGAGTCGGAAGGAATTGTCCGTTATAGAATCGTCTATGTAACAGTTCTCATAATTTGCAATAAATAATAAATCTAGACGAAAAAAAAAAAAACTAGTGCTAGTATTTTTAGGAAAGAAAACTTAATAGTATATTAGCTAATGTTATTTTTGGAAACTTTCAGATATTTCTTATTATTAAGTAGCTGACTAAATTACTTAACTTTTCTGTAAGAATAAAAACGGTAATACTTTTTACCGCTCCTGTAAAAAATTACTAACTAAACCCGTTATATTGATGGAAATATTTCATTCCAAAATATCATGAGAAAATAGTGTATTTCAACATGAATAAATCGTAATGTGCATTTTTATACATCAATAAAGATACAATGTTTTTTCAATTTCAACGCTAAAATAATTCAAATAAACTATTTAAACTATTCGATTTGAGCGTAAAGCTACATTGAATTAAAAAGATTTAATCAACAGTTTTGATTTGTCATTTTAGTTTAACGAAACAATGTCGTTTTAGTCATTTGAATCCACAAACACCGTGAAAAATATCGTATATGCGTCTAGAAAAATAACAAATTTAACTATCTAATCACCAAAAAAAAAAATTATTGAAAAACGAAATTACGTAACTGAAATCGACTGAAACATAGTTTGATGTGGACCAAAAGATTATGAATTGGAAACTACCATTTTTCGTAAAAACAAACATATTTATATTACTGTTTTTTTTTCAGGCAAATAATTTTCTTGATGTTTTAGAAAAAAGGAATGGGCTTAACTTAAGAATAAGAAAGCCCATTTTAAAGAAGCCTATTAAAAAGCCCATATTTGTCTGTGACTGCAGCCTTTATATATGAATTGTGTTCGTATATTTCTGCTTAATAATCTTCTTCCTCCGCTTTAAACGAGTCACCGACTCGATACAGAAATCCGAATTCGCCGGAGACGCAGCGAATATCTTACAACGGGTAATTTTCACGACGCCGGTTGTCTTCCCTCCGTCGTACAATTTAGGTCATCTGCGTAGTCAAGAATTGAAAATACAAGAGACAATCTCTAAAATCGATTCGATTAAGAGGAGCGAAAAAGAAGAAGATCAATATGGGAAACGGTAATGGTCTCGAATCTAGATCTTACTAAGTTTTTATTAGTTTATCGAATTATACGGCGAAAAGAGTATGCCAATACCTGGGAAATTTTTGATGTTTAGGTGAAAGAGGACGAGCGACGAAGAAGATGAAGTACGGTGGGAAGGTTCGTGTTGATTCTTCTCCAGATTAGTTTTTTTTATTAGGGCTCTTCAATACCTAGTTAGTGTGTAATTGTACTGTAAAAATCTCAGGATCATCAAAAGATGAAGAACATCCAAAACGTTGAAGATTACTATGACGAAGCTGATGAGGATTCTCGTGATGGTATATTGATTAATCTCGCATAATTACATAGATAAAAAAATTGAATTGAAAGTATAATGGTTTTTAAAGGTGAAGGAGAGGAGAAGAAGAGAGATTTTACTGAATTGGAGTTGAAGCCAGATCATGGAAATAGGCCCTTGTGGGCTTGTGCTGATGGAAGGATTTTCTTGGAGACGTTTTCTCCTCTCTATAAACAAGCTTATGATTTTCTTATCGCCATTGCTGAACCCGTTTGCAGGTGCTCATCTTTCACTTTTTTAAGAGATTTCGATTTTGTGTAGGGATGTCAATGTACAAGTTATGATTTTGGATTGATTTTCATTCATTGGTTACTATTTCAGGCCTGAGTCAATGCACGAGTATAGTTTAACCCCACACTCGTTGTATGCTGCTGTTTCCGTTGGTCTTGAGACAGAAACTATCATCTCTGTTTTAAATAAGCTGTCTAAGACTAAGCTACCCAATGAGATCATTGATTTTATCCATGCTTCTACTGCTAATTATGGGAAAGTGAAGCTGGTATTGAAGAAGAATCGGTATTTTATTGAATCCCCATTCACGGAGGTAAGTTCACCAGGCTGTGTATTGGATATTTGTTAAGTTTCTCTGTTGGCTTTGCTCACTCGTTAAGGATAAACAATCTTAGGTGTTGAAAAGGCTTCTCAGTGATGATACTATAAATCGAGCTAGACTTTCTTCTGAGGTATGTTGAACTTTGCCATTTATTGCATTATATTTGCTATTCTTGGATGGAAATACATTCCATGATCTGTTGTTCTCAACGGTTTTTGCATCTTTTGTTGACAATGTGGCAGAGATATATATCCTGATTCTTCAAAGCTTTTGGTTTCCTGTTTAAATTATTAAGCTCTCTTGAACTATTTAATAGATAGATGAAGTCATTAATTATTCTTCTCCTTAAACTCCTTGATTCATTGAATGTAGAATTCATATCTCTTATAGACTTATACCATTGTATTCTCCACAGTATGTTGAACCAACTTATTAATTTTTTTTGCTAGCCATATTATGGTGGTGATGGATTTACGATCGGCAAAACAAGTGGTGAACTTGAAGCAGGACCTGGGGAGCTGTTGAATGAAGCAGAATTGGCAGCAGCTTCGGAAGAGAAAGAAACTCATTCATTTGAGGTAGACCCTGCACAGGTAAGTTTCTCGGAATGATTCTTAAAAGTAATCGTATTGCTGAGTTTGGTAACGTTGTATGATCTTTACTTAACTTGCGGTGTCATGTTCTTTGCTCTTGGTGTGTAGGTGGAGAATGTGAAGCAGCGTTGCTTACCAAATGCCTTGAATTACCCTATGTTAGAGGAATATGACTTCAGGAACGACAATGTGAGTAACAAATATTACACTTCAGGCCAATTTTTGCTTACCAGATGATATGCACTGCAGGTTTGTGATTGTTAATAACTTGATGGTTTCTGTCAGGTTAATCCTGATCTTGACATGGAACTGAAGCCCCATGCACAACCAAGGCCATACCAGGAAAAAAGTTTGAGCAAAATGTTTGGAAACGGTAATATGATATAAATGTCTACGCCCACATTTTTTTACCTTAGTTATTTGTTTACATCGACTGCTAAATTGATAGTGAACTTCTCTTAGATATTTAGATTTGTACTTTCATACAGTGTTCTGATCTAGCTTCATTGTGAACTCCTAATAGATAAGTATCTTTTTTAATTTCTCCTCAAAGATTGTGACTGATCTAGAATATTGATTCTGCAGGACGAGCAAGATCTGGGATTATAGTGTTGCCTTGTGGTGCTGGTAAATCTCTAGTTGGTGTTTCTGCAGCGGCTCGTATAAAGAAGAGTTGTCTTTGTTTGGCAACGAATGCTGTCTCGGTGGATCAATGGGCCTACCAATTTAAGTTGTGGTCTACTATAAGAGATGACCAAATATGCCGTTTCACTTCTGATAGTAAAGAACGATTCCGTGGAAATGCTGGTGTTGTTGTGACAACCTATAATATGATTGCCTTTGGTGGTAAACGATCTGAAGAAGCAGAGAAGATTATAGAAGAAATGAGAAACAGAGAGTGGGGGTTGCTGCTTATGGACGAGGTAATCACATTGTTCTTAGTGTGATGTGCCTTTGAATTGAAGTTAGTGTGTGGTGGTAGATTACATTGTGGTTCATTTAGAAGGTGTATCCAGTGTTAATGCGATATACAAATAAGAAGTTTCCACTCAATGTGTGACATTTTAAGAGTTATGTTTTTCATAGGTGCATGTGGTTCCAGCTCATATGTTTAGGAAAGTTATCAGTATCACAAAATCTCACTGCAAGCTGGGACTTACAGGTAATTGAAAAGTTCATTTTCACATACCTTTTTATGTGTTATATTTTAGTTGCAGTAGCTAAGTCTCCTTTTTGGTCTTTTGTTCAGCCACCCTTGTGAGAGAAGACGAAAAGATTACAGATTTGAACTTCCTCATTGGCCCGAAACTATATGAAGCCAATTGGCTAGATTTAGTTAAAGGAGGCTTTATTGCAAATGTTCAGTGTGCTGAAGTATGGTGTCCTATGACCAAAGAGTTTTTTGCAGAATATCTGAAGAAAGAGAACTCCAAGAAAAAACAGGTTCATGAATATAAGCTTTTTTAGCATTGTTCTTGTTTTCCTCGGCAATTTGCTGGAAAAAAAATCTTAAGAGAATTTACTATCTGATTTTATGTTTGTTTCTTTTGATACACTAGAGTCCATGAATTAGTCTAGAACCTTAAAGTATGGTAAACATCAATATAATAGGTTCTTTGTGTGTGTCTAGTAATTTGGCAAATGCTCTAATAGATCACCCTGTAATAGGAACTAGGAAACCTCTTCAATTGTTCTGACATTTACATATCTTGTCTTCTGGTATCTGCAGGCGCTTTATGTCATGAACCCTAACAAGTTCAGAGCCTGTGAATTTTTGATACGTTTCCATGAACAACAACGTGGGGATAAAATCATCGTCTTTGCAGACAATCTTTTTGCACTTACAGAGTATGCAATGAAACTCCGGAAACCGATGATTTATGGTGCAACCAGGTTCGTTAAAGAAGTTCTATTATAAACACACTTCTTTTTTTTTCATTTTTCACTCAATATCCAATCTGATAATCCTCTCTGCGCAATATGTAGCCATATCGAACGAACCAAAATTCTCGAGGCATTTAAAACCAGTAAAGACGTGAACACTGTCTTCTTGTCAAAGGTATTACATTGTTTCCTTCATTTTAGAAATTTGTCCATTCCATGTTTGTTAGGGAACTTAATTTCGGTTTGGTTTCTATGACTACAGGTTGGTGATAACTCTATAGATATCCCTGAAGCGAATGTGATTATCCAGATTTCGTCACATGCTGGTTCTAGACGTCAAGAGGCTCAACGTTTGGGTCGTATCCTTAGGGCTAAGGTATGATTTTCGTTATAATAACTCATCACATTTTGTGTCTCTCCTAGTTCCTCTTGTTAGTTAGCTCCAATATGTGTTATATTTCTCCGTGATCAAAAACAGGGTAAACTTGAAGACAGAATGGCCGGTGGAAAAGAAGAGTACAATGCATTCTTCTACTCACTTGTTTCTACTGATACACAGGTAAATCACTAAATTGGGTGAAGTAGCCATAAAAACGAATATTCATCAGACCCAATCAGAACCAAATTATGTAATTCAGTTCTAGTCCGGACTCGTTTCCAAAACACAAAAAAATCTGCTTTAAATCGAACGGCCATGCTCGTGGCGAATGGCTGATGTAAGGATTGTGAATTTTGAAAATGCAGGAAATGTATTATTCAACGAAAAGACAGCAGTTTTTGATCGACCAAGGTTATAGCTTCAAGGTAATAACAAGCCTCCCACCTCCGGACGCGGGGTCAAGCTTGGGCTACCACAGTCAAGAAGAACAGTTGTCTCTTCTCGGAAAGGTGTTGAATGCTGGAGACGATTTGGTTGGTTTAGAGCAACTCGAAGAAGACACAGACGGAATGGCTCTACAAAAGGCGCGACGAAGCATGGGATCGATGAGTGCAATGTCCGGTGCAAAGGGAAGGGTCTACATGGAATACAACTCAGGCCGTCACAAATCCGGTCAACAGGTAAAGAAACCTAAAGACCCAACCCAACGACACCAAATGTTCAGAAAACGTTATGGGTGAGACAAGAGAAGCTTTCAAGAGTTTTTTTTTAACTCATTTTCGGCTATTTGTTTTGAGTTCTAACTTTTGTGCAAATTTGTTTCAGCAAATGAAGAAACCTAAACGAAGACACCCGATCTTAAAAGACCGTTAACATTTGATATTTGTATTATTATGTGAATTGACTAATTGATCTTAGAAAGGTCTTTAATTTTTGAAAATCATTTTGTTATCGTCAATGTCAGCTGAACCAAAATTGAATTCAAAAGTCTACAAGAATATTGGCTTTTTGTAGCGGCCGAAAAACGCTATTGATAGATACCATAGCGTTTTACCAAACGCTATATCATCGCACGCTATAATAGTTCCGCCACTTTTTATAGCGGTTTTATGTCCTGCTATTATTGTATTATCTTTAATAGCGTTTCTGAAAAGTTATGAATTACTCTTTCATAGCGTTTTATTTACGCTGTTAATATATGTAATGACAGCGTTTTATAAATGTTATTGTTTTCAATAATAATAGCGTTAGATATAAACGATTTTTCGTTATTATTGGTACACAATTTGATAACCTGTTTTTGAATACCCCATTTTAGAATATGAATACTCCATAAAATCCAAACATAACATTAATCCAAACATAACATAAAAGTCAACACAACAAGTTTCTCTACTAAGGCAACATCCACACACTAAGGTTCTCTACTACCACAACAAGTTTTTTCAAACATCATCACATAAAAAGAAGTTTATCACTAGGCCAAGCCACAAGACTACCTAATGCATCATCAATGGTCTGAATTTCTGAACTTGGTTTCCACTCTTTCGCACGTGGTAAGTTGTTGAAGCCCTTTGCCTTGGTCCTTGGTTTCCACCGTTAGACTTATCCTGCAGCAGCGAAAGGACAAGTATCATGAACCAAAGTAGCCGGAAAGTAATAAGGGGGTTTGTTCCATTGTCCTAATTAACAAAACTGAAAATGCAGAGGTGTAGTACTTCCACAACGTGGTGAGTGCCAAATAACAACGCTGCCTTTTTCTGGAATGAGTTTCCTTGTGCCTATATCACAGTTTTAAAACATTGAAGAAAGGTAAATGCAAAGGAAAATCCGCGAGGTACACGCAGAGAGTTATACTATCTAAATCCCTCTTCAACACTAAGTCCATGACTAGCACCTTCATGGAAAGCAGACACATTTTCATGGCACTCACCGAAGAAGGAGAAACAAAACATATATCAAGGACAAGAAAACTTACGATTGCTTTAGTGGGATCCCAACAAAAGTAAGTGGTGAAGAAGCATGGCTCGTTCCCTTCATTCATTTTGTAGAGTGGAACATTAGGAGACAAGCCTTCCAAGGATCCAGCAAGATCTATGTATTCCTGCCCATAAACTGTCTTGATGAACAAACTGTACAATAATGAGAGAGAATCAAAACGAGAAGCAAAGTTGATAAGGAAATAGTTACTCGGCCAATCTCAAATACAGTTTGCTTTTCCTTGGGATCCAAACATTGACCAACCCAGACAAAAACTTCAGCATGGGTGTCTAGTATATATATATATATATCCTCAGTTAAGAGGTCATCTTGCGAAAAGTTGTAAATCTCCTCAACCTGTTGGAGAGCATACTGTTAAAAACATGCAAAACAGTATCTCGGTTAAAGAAAGTTGTATAATTTCGCCAATATCTCACCTGAAACTTTCCTGCAGGGATCTAGGCAGACACATTTAAGAGAAAAATATAATGGTTAGAATACAGGACATTCTCAACTTCTCAGATTAATATAACAATCATATGAGTAAGAAATGGAGCAGAAACTACCTTCAAGAATTTTCAGAAACTCTTAGTAAATGAAGTAGAGAGGAAGATATATGAAACATCTGTGAGTATCCCTTGGTTTATACAGCTATTGCTTCTCTTCCTATTGATCTGTTCAAACGAGAATTTTCAATTTTATTCCCCAAATTTTCAAAAACCCAGCACATCTCGAATTAGGTATGAGATTAAGTAGTACCAGGGAGAGATCAGAGATAGCTGGATCAGGGGAATTTAAAATTCTAAGGAGATTGAGAACAGAGACTTCGATTCTAGCACGAGCCTGAAACAACGAGCTTCGATTTCAGTCAGAACTACGAGATTAGACGGTGAAGAAGATCAGCGATTTTAGTCAGAACTACGAGATTAGACGGTGAAGAAGATCAGTGAAGAAAATTGGGAGCGAAACTTACTTCGTGAGGGAGAAGAATATCAGCGTAAGAGAGGTTTTGATCGGAGAAGAACTTCATCGATGAGAGTCCTGAAAACAGGAGATTGTATAGTAAGCTCTCTGCAAATAGAAAGGAACAGAATAAGAACCAAATTGAAAACCCCAATTATCCCCAGATCGATTATCCCCAAATCGAAATCCTAATTTGAAACCCAAATTGAAACCCTAACAATCTAACATACCTTTGACCGTGACAAAATAAGCCGAAATCTTCCTGCAAACAAAGGTAATAATCGACTAGAATCAATTACAACTTTTAAAAACCCTAAATCGAGACGAAATTTCACACAAGTACCGTTTATAGTTAGAGAGATGCAACACCAATCGAGTAGATCCCGTAAACACAAAGAGCTTGAATCGAATGATATGAGAGATTGTAAGAGAGCTTGAATCGAGTGAGAGATTGAATCGAGTGAGAGAGTGAGAGAGTGAGAGAGTGAATCGAGCGAGACAATGTAAGAGAGCTTGTTTTGAGTTCTCTATGCTATACTTAAGAAAATATCGAGACTTTCAGAGGGAAAAGGAAATTTAGTTTCGGTTCAAGGCCAATTATTTTTAGGTTTTCCCGGTTCACTTCTAATAGCGTTTCCTGATAATTCTGCTATTAAAAACTATGCTATAAATACTTAGAAACCCAAATTATTAGGCACATGTTTATATTTTTATCTGTTAAGAGTATTAATAGCGTTTCCAAAACTACAAACGCTATCTTAAACTCGTCCTATAACTTATAATAGCATTTGTGAACAAAATGCTATAGTATTGTGCTATTAAAAGCCAATATTCTTGTAGTGTTATAAGGGTTTGATCATACGAAACGTTTCACTCTACCTTTTGTTGATGCAAAATCATTGATAATTGTTTCCAAATCCATACTCTCCAAAACGTCTTTTTCAATGCATAAAATTGTTAAACCGTTAAATCTTTCTTGAGACATTGATGATTTCAAATAATTTTTCAGCAATTTTAGCTTAGAGAAACTCCTTTCGCTAATGCTACTCTCACTGGAGTGGATAGAAAAATTCGATAAGCAATTGTAGTATTTGAATAACAATTAATGGTTTTTACAAACTCTAAACCCTCGATAGGTGTCATCGCTTCATCGGGTAAAGTCACCTGCAATATTCTTAACTCAGAAAAAAAAACTCATCCAAATCAATATCCAATGAACCACTATGAGAAAATGTAATATGAAAAGTAGTGCAACTTTCTCTTAATTCAATAGCATCAAGTGACTTTAGCTTCACCGGATTGTAGAAGAATCCAAAAACAATCTCAAATGTTCTCATTTGCTCAAATCTACTTCTCAAAGAAGCAATTGTCATATCCACAACAACCAAAAAATTAAAAAAAATTAAAAGTATCCTGAGGTGTTTGAATGACTTCATCATGACTGTTTTTATCAAACTGTTTTTTCCTAAACCTTCGACGCTTAGTTGGAAGATTTTTAGCTATATTCATACTTGAACTAAATCCATTATTTCTATAATTCTCAAAAAAAGACATCACACCTTCTACTTGCTTCATTGCATTATCAATACACATAGATTTAGCTTGTAAGTTCTTACTCACCAAGTTAATAGCAAACAAAATGTCATGCCAAATAACCATTTCAAGTGCATCAACCAAACTTCCAGTTTCACTCTTTGTTATAGCATCATCACACAAGGTATATAATTCAATTAAAGCTGACCTTAATTTTCTTTGATCCCACAATTTTCTTTGAATCCTTGTTTTTATCTTTTTCGCCAAGGATCAAAAGTGTTTTAGGTTTTTTTCAATATGTTACAGTTTAGCAAAAAAAAAAAAATTAGTCAAATGCGTATTGTAAATCTGTGGCCAGATACGTGGGCTACAAGCCTAACCAGTTTGATATAGTTCCTTATTATCGGCACAAAGTCTAGGAGGATTGAGAGGTGATTATCTTAGGGTTTTCGATCTCGTTCAGTCGTGCTATAATGATTGGTTTATAGTCCATTTCGATGATTGAATTTCAACTAGTTTTATGGAGTAAATTACGCCGTGGTTTTGAACAATGATTGCTGTTACGCTCGATCGGAAGATGACTTCTCGCTTGGACTTTACTCTTCTTAACTTCAAAACCGAGGTATCTACGCTGGCCTCAATTAGCTACACATGTTTCTTCTTGTACAAGAAAGTACATTGTTGCCAAATCTTCTTGTTTCCTTGCAGGGCACTTATAGAAATTCTAAATACTACAAGCCAAAAAATGATCATGACTCTCGCGTTGATGTGGAGGCGGTACGTCTATTTTTCCTCATGCATACTGGCGATCAGCAACCTTGTTCTACTTCGCTTTCGCTATTCTTTGTTTGATCAGCGAATGACTGTTTGTGTGTTTATTTTTAAGTGCCGTACTGATGAAGAAGACCTGGATCAATTAGTCATCCGTTATGGCCCAATTGTTATGATAGTTACTTTGCCATGCTTAGCAAAGAGTGATGTGTTTTTTTGTTTTTTGGATATGGCTCATTTTGAGAATAAGAAAGCCCATAGTTTTTGCATCTTCTGCTTTACATTCTCTTCATTGACGTTAAACCAGTAACAGACTCAGCCATACCCGAACCCGACACCGAACCCGATTCAAAACCCGCCGGCTTCGCCAAATAGCTTTCAACGGTAAATTTTCACGGCGCCGGTTGTCTTCCCTCTTTGGTCTTCTGAGAAATCGCGAATTGATAACATCAATTGGAAAAAAAAAGAAGATCAAAATGGGAAACGGTATTAAGCTCGATCTTACTGATTTTTTTTTGCTTAGTTTATCGAATTATCCGGCCAAAAAAAAAAACACTGCGGGGAAATTTTGTTGTTTAGGTGAAAGAGGAAGACCCAACAAGAAGATCAAGTATGGTGACAAGGTTCGTGTTGATTCTTCTTCAGATGATTTTTTTTTTTTTATCAATTAGGGCTCTTCAATGCCTAGTTAGTGTGTAAAAATCTCAGGATGATCAAAAGATGAAGAACATTCAAAACGCTGAAGATTACTATGACGAAGATGATGAAGATTCTCGTGATGGTGAACTTACTCTCTCGCTGTATGGTTAGCATAATATATCAAAATTGGAACTAAATTGGATTAGAAATTGTAATGGTTTTTGAAGGTGAAGGAGAAGAGAAGAAGAGGGATTTTACTAAGCTGGAGTTGAAGCCAGATCATGTAAACAGGCCTTTGTGGGCTTGTGCTGATGGAAGGATTTTCTTGGAGACTTTTTCTCCTCTCTATAAACAAGCTTATGATTTTCTTATCGCCATTGCTGAACCCGTTTGCAGGCCTGAGTCAATGCACGAGTATAATTTAACCCCACACTCGTTGTATGCTGCTGTTTCCGTTGGTCTTGAGACAGAAACTATCATTTCTGTTTTGAATAAACTGTCTAAGACTAAGCTACCAAAGGAGATGATTGAGTTCATCCATGCTTCTACTGCTAATTATGGGAAAGTGAAGCTCGTTTTGAAGAAGAATCGGTATTTTATTGAGTCCCCATTCCCAGAGGTAATTTCGCCAAATATGCTTATCCTCTGTCTCTGCTCTTGTGTATTTGGATATTGGTTTTCGTTTTTCCATTGCTTTTGCTCAGTTGTAGACACAAAACAATCTCAGGTTTTGAAAAGGCTTCTCAGTGACGATGTTATTAACCGAGCTAGATTTTCTTCTGAGGTATGTTGAACTCCTCCATTTAGTGCTTTATGTTTACTTTCAAGATTTTATCCTGGATGGAAATCAATACCATGATTGGTTGTTCTCAACGGGTTTTTGCATCTTTTGTCACTAATGTGGCAGAGATATATATATATATATATCCTGGTTCTCTCAGGTTCTTGGTTTCAGTTGGTAGATAATCTCTAATCCTTCTTCTTAAACTCATTGATTCATTGAATGTGGAATTCTTTAATCATATACCATTGTATTCTCCACAGTGTCAGTATGTCGAACCAACTTAGATTAACTTTTTTGGTAGCCATATTATGGCGGTGATGGATTCACGATCGGCAAAACAAGCGGTGAACTTGAAGCAGGACCCGGGGAGCTGTTGAATGAAGCAGAATTGGCAGCAGCAGCAGAAGAGAAAGAAACTCACTCATTTGAGATAGACCCTGCACAGGTAAGTTTCTCCAAATGGTTATTAAAAGTAATCGAAATGATGAGTCTGGTAATGTTGTATGATCTTTACTTAACTCGCAGTATCATGTTCTTTTGCTCTTGGTGTGTAGGTGGAGAATGTGAAGCAGCGTTGCTTACCAAATGCCTTGAATTACCCTATGTTAGAGGAATATGACTTCAGGAACGACAATGTGAGTAACAAATATTACACTTCAGGTCAATCTTGCTTACCAGATGATATGTACTGCAGGTTTGTGATTGTTAATAACTTGATGGTGTCTGTCAGGTTAATCCTGATCTTGACATGGAACTGAAGCCCCATGCACAACCGAGGCCATACCAGGAAAAAAGTTTGAGCAAAATGTTTGGGAACGGTATAGCTCTCTGCATCCACATTTTTTTTCCTTAGTAAATTTGTTTTACGGAAACTGCTTAAATTGATGGTGAACTTCTCTTAGATATATATACTTGTACTTCCCCGTGAAGCCGTGACTGATCTAGCTTAGTGAACTCCTAATAGATAATTATCTTTGTAATTTCTTGAGAAATATTGTGACTGATCTCGAATGTTGAATCTGCAGGACGAGCAAGATCTGGGATTATAGTGTTGCCTTGTGGTGCTGGTAAATCTCTAGTTGGTGTTTCGGCAGCGGCTCGTATAAAGAAGAGTTGTCTTTGTTTGGCGACGAATGCTGTCTCGGTGGATCAGTGGGCCTTCCAGTTCAAGTTGTGGTCTACTATAAGAGATGACCAAATATGTCGTTTCACTTCTGATAGCAAAGAACGATTCCGTGGAAATGCTGGTGTTGTTGTGACGACCTATAATATGGTTGCCTTTAGTGGTAAACGATCTGAGGAATCAGAGAAGATTATAGAAGAAATGAGAAACAGAGAGTGGGGGTTGCTGCTCATGGACGAGGTAATCAAATAGTTTTAATGTGATGTGTGTCCTTAAATTGAAGTTAGTGTTTGCTGGTAGTTATTTTGCGGAAAAGTCATATGTTGTTCGTTGAGAAGGTGTATCCAGTGTTAAGCCCATGAATGCAATCTACAAACAACAAGTTTCCATTCTATGTGTGACTTTTCAAGATTTATGTTTTGTTTTAGGTGCATGTGGTTCCGGCCCATATGTTTAGGAAAGTTATCAGTATCACAAAATCTCACTGCAAGCTAGGACTTACAGGTAAGGGTTCATTTTCACATACCTTTTTATGTATACCTCTGTTGCAGAAGCTAAGTTTCCTTTTTGGTCTTTTGTTCAGCCACCCTTGTGAGAGAAGACGAAAGGATTACAGATTTGAACTTCCT